CTCTTCTTCTTGCCTCATCACTTAGGTCATCTCTCAAAGAGGTTCGCATCATTGTTTAGCATGACCTGAAGGGGAACTGCGAAGACACAGTGAAACCCAAATGTCAACAGTGGGTCTTGCTCATACTCCACAACATGTTTCTCTCCAGGTTTCAGTCTGCGAAGCATCAGATCTGGCCTGGTCTTGAGCAAGTCGCCGCATGTCCACCACTGCTCTTACCTCCGCCTGAGAGACTTCTCCATCCTCATCGAGGTCAAGAAACGCAGGGGGGTCTTCCTGCCAGACAGACTTCCTTCGAGCGCTCTGAACCAATCGCTCAATCTGCCGCCACAGTTCCACCAGGTCAGGTAATTACACGGCATGAACTTACGCATAAAGGTGGCAGGCAGGGGCGCATTGAAGTCCTTCCTTCCACCATTGTTTGATGAATAATTCCTGGCCCGAAGAACAAGGACTCCCCGGATAGAGCACCTGCCAACACCTAGCCAACACCGGGCCCCCCTATTCTGAGACATACCCATGAAAAAACGGGGACCCATCACCGAAAAGGCGACCCACTAGAAGCTGGGAGGCCGCACAGGCAAAACCCACACACACACACAAAAAAAAAACAGATGACCAGACAGGCAGACAGATCCGCATGCACGACTCGACAGCTGGCTGACATGCAATGAATCAAGAGCGATCATAACCGTCCTTTGCTCAGGAGCCAAATGTTAAGGTCAAAATCATGATCAAGGTACAACATTATAAACCCTAAGTTACTAAGCAAGAGAGGCACAATTGGGACGAAACCAGCAAGGTGCAAGCTTCCAACCACTTTCCTTTCAATTTATTCCGTGGGTTTTTTTGTCCATGGTCACCGGGGGTCTTCTTGCAATTTGTACAGACCGAGCTCATGCGAAGGCCTGCCGGCGAGATCTCCACGGCACGGCTGGCCCGGGGGAGCAGGCGTCACGGGTGAACTTCTGTGAGAGCAGAGGGCAAGGGTCTGGCGTCAGTGGCGCCACCAGGGTTTGGTTGGAGGATGGGGGTTCTGTTTTTGGTGCCCAGTTTGGGGCTGGCTCAGGGGAAAACCAAAAGGACACCGCTCATGTTTAGGGGTCCCATTTTGCCGACAAAGCCATGTGAACATCGTCAGGTCGCGACTTTCTCTGAGAGTTGCTCCGCATTCAGCCCAAAGGGCGGCACGTGCCCAGCGAGGCAAAGCTCTCACGACTTTCCGCAGGACGCGCCAGGCGATATCCAGTGAAAAGTAATAAGCCGTCGACGGCAGAGAAGAACCTGGGCGTTGAATCAGCCTGGATTCGGAGCCGGCCACAAAACACGTTCCAGCTGCGAGATGGATTGTGACCATAGAGTTAACCTCCCGCAGCCATGCTCAGCCTCGTGAGCGCAGGGTGCGCACTGAGCACGAAAGAAGGCACCAGTTGCCGCAGTTTTGGCTGTCTCTCAGTCCGCCAATGCCAACCTGTGTGGCTCCAAATTCAACAGCTAGGGTTACGCAGGTTTTAGTCTTTGGTTCCATTTACCAAGGGGCCCATTTGGGTACATGTTTTGAGCCACAGCTAGTCGGGTGTCTTAACCTCAGCCCCTGGCCTCCGGCCAGGCCGTGATGGCCAAGTTACGCAAAGTGCGGGCTCCCAGAGCCGCCTGACTCGGGTCCGGGGTCGGGTCCGGACCCGAAATGCCAGGACCCGCACACTCCCACTCCCTGCCGCTCCCTGTTCGGTATCCTTGCCCAGAGCAGAGATGAGTCAGGCAGGCATGAGAGACAGCGAACATGAAGCTTGCCAAGTGCTGTGTGAGGCATCGACAAGCGTCGCAAGGACAGCAAATCGTTGGCGCTTCCCGCCTCAAAAGAATTCAACAAGCCTGGGACAGGAGCCGAGCCCGCTGCCATCGCCGTCGGAGATGGGATCGCCGAACCCCGCGGAGGCCAGGTGCTTCGAGCCCCGCCTTCGGCTGGGGTGAGTTTCTCGTTGCGGCGTGTAGGGTGGAAGCGGGACCGTGGGACCCACCCCGAAGCAAGCCCCGAAGCAAGCCCCAAAGCACAGCCCGAAGCAAGGTGTCGAGACTTGGTTGTGCTTGCGGCAAATGGGCAGGCTGACGTGCCAAAAGCGAGCGAAGTTGCACGGAGGCCCTGGTTGCACTCTTGCCGCCAGGGTGAGGCAGCAGCACGTAGGTCCATAGGCAGGCTAAAGGGCTTATGGGGAGGCCATTCCAGATTGCTTCATGTTGGATTTGTGGAAGAAGTTGAAAGCTGCCCCTCGTTTGCTTTGTTTGGCCCATGTCGCGGTGTCCTTTGTCTTGGCCAGTCCCAGCATCCAAGATGAAGGAGAGACTCTCCCAGGCGTGGTATTGCATGTTTATCGCCGGCGGCGCCTTCGAGCGACTCAAGAGCATCGGAGACCGGATGTGCGCGAGTTGAGCGGAGGTGCGAAGAGAAAGCGCGGCCGCCCACGCAAGGTCTGCGGCACAGAGCACCATCGGCTGATCACAATGGAGCCTGCGTTGAGATGTCCTCGCAAGTTTCACGCCCAAGCCAATATAGGGCACGCGTAGCTTTTCCAATCAGCACGACCTGAGTGTACCAAGCAGCACTGAGAGTTGCAGCCACTTCCCAAACCTACCAGAACCCAAAGTGCCCCATCCCACCCAAGCATCCCTAGAACTAAGGACGCGCATTGTTTGGACGGCCTAGTCCTTTTGCCGTTGGCTGGCAAAATGGAGGGGTCGACCTGCACGGCCTAGCTGAATTTTGCATTTCAAGCAGAAGTCCTTCACTTTCAGGGGAATTGCACCCATGAACTCTCGATGTCCGAACCGACCGCCTTGGTTTTGACGTCTCAAAGCTGGCCCGAGGTTCCGCCTGAGAGTGGCAAGGAAGAGCCGCGCCCGGCACGTCCGGCGCGCCCGGCGCGCCCGGCGCGCCGCCCAGCTGCCGTAGTGCCGGTGGGGGCCTCATGGCAGCGAAACTGGGAGGTCGTCAGCTTGTTCCAGGTTTCTTTTTTAAGTGATCAGGGTGGTGTTCAGACCTGTAGGTTTGCCCTTCCTTTCCCGGGCTTCCCTTCAAAAATCAGGCAATCGAAAGAAAAGCCGAAAAAACAACAACGCCTTTTGAGAAACCCGATGTGTAAGTCGAAGATGCGCGCCATGAGTTTGGCATCCCCCCAGTCGCAGTCCGACATGTCGTTGTGGCCAATCCGCGCCACTTTGCTCGAAGGTTGAGGAGGTGCTCTCTGCCTTGGTCTCCGCCGATGAGTTTCGTCCGCAGGATGAAGAAGGAGGCGAGCCTCATTTTCTTGCAAAAGCTCTTGCAAGTTGCCTTCGGGTCACTCAGTTGCTACGCAAGTCCACTTTCACTTTTGGCACCCCCATGGCTTAGCCTGGGTTTTGAAGATTTGCCCTCAGGCCGTCCCAAACGAGCTCGATTTCCTGTGCGGCGCTCATGACGCGCAGGTTTGAAACGCTGAGCCTTTCTGGTGGACATGTGCTGTTGATCATGCCGTCCACGACATATTCCTGAAAGGGAGCTGCGTGCAGGTGGCCACGAGTGTTTAGATTACTGGGTGTTTTGATCCTTTGCAATATTTGTGCGCTATGGTTGGGAGCCAAAATTACCATAGCGAGCTGCAGTTTCCAGCCGTGGGAATGGCCATTGCTTTGGGCCGCAGAGGGCCAGGCTTGACGTCGCTCTTTCACTCCTTGGCAAATGCTTCCGCTTGAGCTGGACTCGCGTGTCGCCGTTCCAGGTGGAAGTGTAGTGGTGCCTGGCGCAACCTTGATTCAACCCGGCTTGGACATTAATGGTGACAACTTATTTGCAAGCACCCCCCCCCCCTTCAAGGTCGACAAAGTTTGGACAAGTCCCAAAAATTGAGATTTTTGGGAGGACCCCCCTGATTACTCTGGAGCCCCTTCGGTCCTCGTCCTCTTACTTGTGGTCCCTTCGGGGCAGTAGGACTTTAAGAAGCAACAGCACATTTTTTTGGTTTTGAGCCCAAAACGGCCCTGATTAATCGCGGGGGGTTTCCTGTTAATGAGGGGGGACTGGCCTCCAAGGGGGGTCCCCTTTGTGAGCTTGAAAACCTTGTCATTTTAAACAAATTTTAGTAAAGACACATGCATTCCGGGGGAAGCACGTTTTTGGGAAACACTTGAGGGGTTCAATAGTGACTTAGTATTGGTGGGTTTAAGCACAGACCAAGCAAATACTACGCAAGAAGGAAAGCACCTTTTCTGGCAGGTTTTTGTTGGCTTGGGGGCTGCAGAGGGATACCTTTAATCAGGGGGGGTTTGGGGAGGGCCCAAAAATAATTGGGTAGGTCTTTTTGGGGAAACCTTGTTGGCACTTTACTTTAGTATTGGTGAGAATCTGGAGGGGAAAAGTGGGAGCCTTTAATCGGGGGGGGTTTACTAATCGTCTCCTGACATTAGCCGCTGCAACCGCCCTCCTCTCCAAGCTGAGGGGCTTCGGTCTTTCTTTTTTTTCTTCTTCTTTTTCTTCTGGTGTTATGTCAGAGAAGGTGGTTTGGTTTGAGAGGCCCCTCGGTACCTCGTGACCTGCATGACTTCTCATCAGAGGTGTCACTGGGTCACCGGGCCCCGTGTCAGCGAGAGGTCTTGCGGGCATGGTGCAACGAGCGGCTGGTCTACGAGCGCAAGCCGGGATCCGTGGTGCCTACCATCTCTGGGCCCGGGACTCGGGTGAAGCTGGCGCACTGGCAAATCCACTGGCGGTCTCTTTCTCAGTTTGGGGGCCCACCCAATATTTGCCCGAAACAACAACAACTACATATGGGGGTCATATGGCAGTGGCTCAAAAAAATGTACCCAAAAATGGCCCCTAGGTAAGTGGGGGTAGATGGAAACAAAGACCAACACCTGCGTAACCCTAGCTCTTAAACTTTGAACCACACCCATATTTCATATAGTAGTTCGCTTGGTTGGCCGAAGGCATGATGGTGCACAGGTGCAAACTCGTCGACGACAGCAAG